GTGGTTTTCAGATAGCTTGGAAGAGGCTATTCTCGTACCGGATTGGCTGAGTCGTGAATTCGAGTATCGTATAGGGACATCGTAGGGGCAGGACCCACAAGAGTGGAGGTACGGTTCGTCTACATGTGATCTATATTGTCTCGGGTCTTCATCATTTTTTCTCGTAGAAGATTAGAAAAATAATGCCAGAATTCTTGAGCCTATAACAAACAAAATTTCCTTCCCAAAAAAATTGCCAATCAGAAAACTGCGGGCACCTTTTATCTCTCTCCTTTGGCCGCGATCCCAGCTATGAAAATGGTGTTCGCTGCCCCGATGGCCCAGCTCCCACCGCTCAGACGCCAATACCCACTACCAACACCAGGCCTTATAATATATTGTGTTTGAGTGCGGTAGCTCGTCAGAGGCCGAAAGAGAAAGAAGGTTGACTCAAGACCTTGTTGCATAGAGAGTAAGAGACATGCGGTAGGCCACACCATCGCCATGCAGCATGTCCGTCAATACATTCCATCCGCGTACCCCCCGGAGGCCCCGTAGACAGTGCACTCTGCCGAGCACCCCAAACAAAATTTCCTTCCCAAAAAAATGGCCAATCAGAACACTGCGGGCACCTTTATCTCTCTCTCTGTATCATGACACTGTTGAAGAACTAACTGTGAAAATTCTGCGAAATCAACACGACTATCCAAGGTAAAATGTACCATGTCGGTGAAAACTATACCTCCATGGAAAGAGGGGCAGATCACTGCGTCGGCATGCTCTGCCCGCCGACCCGACGGCTCATTAGTGTTCGGAGCGACTGCAGGGAGTGACCTCATTTAGCTTGTAGATGCCAAGATATTCCATACGATAATTCGCGAGTCAGATATTTGATACATCGGGTCTGAACGGAATTTTACTGCTGCTGGTATTTACCACGCTGTTTCGCTCATCATTCGGCGTAGAAATATGAACAAGAACCCCGTTTTACCTTTGCACAAAATTTGAACTTGCAGAATGAGAACAAGGGCTCGGTTTGAGGCAACCAAAAAGCGTCGAGCCTCACGCAAATGAAACGGTTGTTATGCTGTGACATTCAGCCTCATCGTTTTCACTGCTCTTGCTGCTCTTTTCTACTGTTGTTGCGGGCGGGCCTCCCGGCAGTTGCCGTGCTGAAGAAGAGAAGCCGAGTCGAAGTTTGTGCTCTCTGTGGTGCTTGCGTAGGGCACCAACGACGCTAACCAGCTGACCAAATGAACATGTCAGTCCAAATATTCTTACTCGTTCTGGTGGTCAGGCCGCACCTTGCAGAGCGAGTTCAGGTTTACACCGTCGGTGACAGAAGGAATCGCACCCCCTGGAACACTTCACATTTTTCACAGCAAGCGTGGCGATGCTGAAAATGGCGGCGGCATTGAAATCGGCTCACTGAGAGCGTTCTGGAAACTAAACGTGCTCTAATTGATTCATCCTTTTCGTCGTGGAAAAGTCGAGCTTGGAAATCGGCTCAGGAGGGGTGATAGTTTTCGTGACGTACAGTAGAACGCAACAACAACGGTCTGAAGAGGAAGGCCATACTTTGTTGTGTGTGGTCTAGATCAGAAGGAATGAAAACACACACACACACTTCGGCTGGGCTTGAAATAACCCTTGTGCTGTCCTCCGCTCTTTGCATCAGTGGCTTCCTAGGTTCGGGCGAGGGCATGTGTGAAGCTGAGATGTGTGTCTTCGTGAAAGAACATGTAGAGAGAGTCGTATTGGCATTCGCATCAAGCGCATTGCGCATTTTTCGAGTTTTGGCCTCCTTCCAGGGACCTTGATTTTTACCCGCTGGCACTGACGTCTTTTAATTGGTCAGCCGGTTAGCGCGGTCGATGCTAATAATAAAAACACACTTGGTCAGCCGGTTAGCGCGGTCGATGCAAATAATAAAAACAAACACACATTGTCTTCGCATCGCTGAGGAGGACCCAAAATCAGACGTAATCCCGCGAGTGATATCTTATGCAACATACATGTGGTAATCTGAAAGTGGGTCTTACGTCTTGCCTACGCAGAACTGATTGGAGGCATGGTCTGCCAACAGCTAGGGGGGCGTCAGGGTCTATCACACATCCCCCCGTCGACCGTACCCACCCACAGCGTAGTACCTGTAGCTCTTTTTTGTATTTCTACCCTCCAGCAGATAGAGAGATATCACTCCCGGGAGTAACATCTTCATCGAAAATTGGTCGAAACTCAGGTATGTCATCTCACTCTCAACTCATCGATAGTTCGTTTTTTGTCCATTATTGCACGTAGATTTGCAGTAGACTACCAACCCTGTTCCGCAAGCAGCATGTCCGGCCACCATCCACCGTTCACTTCTTTATCCCTGACCATGCTTTCCATCCTAAGCCGCCTGTCCTCGGCCTCAAAAGATTTTCCATTAGTTCGCACACTCCCTTCTTCCCCTAGCTGCCTCGGCAAGGTTTTGCTTAGGCATGACCCATAGCGAGGGGGAGGTCTTTCTAGCGAGCAGGGCTAGACTCACCCTCAAGGGACCGATAACTTGTTGCTGCGGCGCACCCGCAGCGAGGCGTGCGTAGGGGTGGAGTTGGGTCGGCACTGGTGCGTCAGGTACAAAGGTGAAGATGCGCGGGCCTCCATGGCCGTCGGTGTAGGCAGCAATGCCCATCTCATCTTTGTGCGCGGAGGCAGACGCCATCAGAAAGGTGGACTGGCACTATGTGCACGGCCCTAGGTTTGCTAGAGGGAGCTGTATTGTCTCAGTAACCTGGCTTTGCCATCAAAGGAGGAGGGGACAGGTGGTGACGAGCCGATTGGCCTGGTCGACCCTTCGGCGCGAGAATTTTCCAAGTGGAATTTTCGGACCAAGAACTAACTCTAAGTGCGACGAGGGAGAAATCGAGGAACCGACTGGGAAGGACAGCAACGAGAGCGTGTACGAACGGAGCGGGTCGAGTTTGGTCGTGCTAGGACTGGCCACAGCGGCACCGGAGCAGCGGTACCGGAGCAGCGGCACCGGAGCAGCGGCACCGGAGCAGCGGCACCGGAGCAGGCGGACGGCATCGAACCGTGGCGCATGGACAAACATCGCTTGTGTTGTCAAATAGACTATTTCCCGTTTTTTTGCTGAAGAGACTTGCGGTTTCCGCGGTAAAGACGAATTGTCTCTCCCGCGGCGAGGAAAAAAATTTGAACCTCAAATGCAAAACCGTTTTTGGATTTATGTCTAAAACGACGTTTAAAAGCATAACAAAAAGAGAAACAATAATAGTTGTGATCGGATCACCTTGCTTGATGTTTTTTCACCGCGTTGCCGATTTTGGCGCCTCCATTTCTCCTCGGCAATCAATTCCGCTTGGCCGATTTAGGGGGGGTAGAGCCACTCAGAAAGTTGATCAGAAAAAATTCGACGTGGGAACCGAGAATCCAAAATCCCAAGGAGTTTGAAATTGCTCAGCTACTGCCAGATTCTTGATCTACACCACAACATTACACAAACCTGAAAATATCATACGATTCGGAGGTGTTTGCATCTTGCTCGGGGGGCCCGCAGACAGACGCGATTTTCACCCAATTTTACCCACTCCTTCATCAATAATAAGTCATCACCACGACAACCAAATGGGAAAGTAAGTATATTTTCGTGGTCCTCGTGACCTAACGGATAGTGGTACAAAATTTCAGAGGTTAGACTAATACCCATTTCTTGCTGCTCATTGAAAAACTCGTGAAAACTATTCGTCTTTAGCCCGGAACCCGCCTGTAGTCTAGTCTAGGTTTTGGGTACGTCATTGGTTTTGTGGAGAGACGCGGCAGAGATGGCGCGGATAGCCCGGGTGCCTTAATTGTGTACCTGCATCGTGAAAGACCCCTTCAGTGTGGAATGATCCCTAGTCAGTGTCGATGGTTACACTGCTGTGTCTAACACAGATGAACTGGACAGATTCGGGTGATTGTCAATTGCAATGAATGATGGCTTGGTTGGTTCTTCTTCATTATATTGTATGTCAACGGACGCATTCTGGCAGCACTTCAGACAGCAACTGCATGCCCCGAGCTTGTGTAGCATGCTTTTGCCATGGTGTTGTTATTGTACAGACAGCACTACAGGCAGCAGTACGCTGTTTGTTGTAGTCGACAAACATTCATTTCGGTAAAGTGCGGGACAAGGAGGGTGCTGCTGCTGCTGTAGTCGACTTGTAGTGAGGGGCGTGTAGTTCAGTGTTGAGCACGCAACCGTGCTGCAGGGATTGTGGTGTACAATTGTACCTCTTCGGGACTGCTGTGTACCCTTTTCTTGCTATTAGTGTGCGTGTTCTTTAGTCTAGATCTTCTGATGGCTTGAGCATTTTTGTGACCACGGACCGAGTCTTCGCTAGATTTTGGGATTAGAAACTGACACGAGTATATGTGAAGACAACAACAACAACACTCCCCAACTCAACAGCCTCCCAGATGCAGCATCGTTTCTCTCTGGAACAAAAATAATAGAATTCCCGTATGTCCCGCAATGCAGAACGGATGAGATAGGGAACAGTGCGCCGGGGGGATTGAGAGCTACATAGCGGCGGGGCAGCCGCTCTGACAGTCGAGCTGGTATCGTCGTGTCCTGCGAAGTTGTCCGTCCCCATATAGCTGTCCTCGTAGGTTGGTCTAGTGACGTACGACAGAGCGTTCCTTTTTCAATTTTTCATTATTTTTTCATGATTTTTGTCTTAGTCCAGTCTTCTCTGCTTCCTTTACTTGTCCAACCTCAAAACTATTTTCATTCAAGTCCGACCAACTCGCATCATACCCCATACCCTTCACAGACGCCCTCCCTTGCAAAAGGGGAACAAGGGTTCAGGTGAGCTCGGGGCTACCCCCAGGCTGTGATGAAAAGTACAGAAGAGCGTTGATTGTGTCCGTTGACGTTATCGCTCAGCCTGGGCGGCGACCCTCACTGTACATTCATTGCGCATCGGAGGAGGGCTATGGTTGTTGCATCGGGATGGGGATCCGTTTCCTAGCCGATGGTTCAGAGGGAAAGTGGTCGTCGGATGCATTCAATCCGCGTGCCCAGAAGAATCTCTTAGATGACTCGCAACGAGTGTTGCGAAAGCTGACGAATGGGATAGGCTAGAAGCGAGACAGTCGGGGGAAGAAGGGATACTGGGCACGAAGGCTTGACTTCTCGAGGGCAGCAGTCTGGAGAAGACCCTAGTTTGGGCGTTGTTGAATGGTCGAGAACGATTGGGGGATGGACTTGGTCATTCCACACCCCTGGGCAGCAGTCGAATTTCTAGTCGGGTTTCCCCGGCTGGTAAAGCTGACTTGTGAGCAGGCAGATACAGTTTTGAAGGGGAGCCAAGCGCGAAGATTGTGTTCCTATCAATAACGCTGCCTCCTCCTTCCTTCTCTCGCTCAGCCCTGTCGATCTACATTGAAACCGATTATTACGCAGTGGGGAACATACGATGAAATCTGCATACATTCCTTGCTTCCGAGCGCTAGGAACAGGCAAACCTCGCGCCCCCTCACAAATCTCTCTCTCTCTCTCTCTCTCTCTCTCCCTCTCTCTCTCGGCCTTTCTCTCGCCCCTTTCCTCACAAGTTAGCTTATCCATTTTCTCAGTACTCCTACCGCGCGCAGGGGTCTGGAATGAATTAACCCTAGCCGTCGGGTTGAGCCTGTCCGACAACCTTGCCCGAAAGGGGAGAATGCCGGAAAATCGCTAATTGGGAAACGGCCAGAACGGTTCGTACGCCGGAGATGACAACGCGCTTCATGAGTCACTTTTGAAGTCGCTGGCAACCCACGGCTGTTCGACGCTGAGACGAAGCAACATCATTACACCCCATACGGCGCGGCAAAATATTGCTATTTTGCAACGGCTTGTCTTGTCGTTGGCATCAGGACCGTACTGACCTCCCCGAGTACCATCCCATCTTGAGCAGCCTCTTTCGAGGCACAGACACGGGATTGTGGACACAGGCCGACCCACGAGGGACTGGTGTGGACTAGACGGCAAAGACACGGAAAGAACACAATGCTACTCGAAAACTCTTGCAGCAGGAAATGCCCTCCACTGCTGCCTACATGTACATGTACCCGTTTGGGGGAAGTCAGCATGCGACGACGGAAGGAACACGCGTCGGCTGGACCGGAACACACGCTACAATCATTCGTCAACTCTCCATAACACTCGGCAACACGACATTCGCAACATCTAAACGACAACTCCCGACGCCGCCCGCACCTAACAATTTCCAACGCAACGCAATAACAACCACACGATTGTATCTTCGGCACGCAAGATGGTGTTTGCACAGAGGTCCCAAAACTCGGTACCACCAAAAACAATCACCTCCACTAGACTACATATCTACATTGCAGCGTAGCCATCACCGATGTAACGGTCTACACAGCACATCAACTATCATACAATAACAAGGCTCCTACCCTAAAGACATTTATACCTGTCATGCTTGAAACAAGCCTCTCCAAACCCCATCGCCGTCTTCTGCGCACGTCCCTTTGCAGTTGAGGACGGCTTCGTCCAACCTTGGCTACTGCTGTAAGGGCTTCACATTATACCCCCCGTTGAGTCTCGTTAATAAGCTTGACGAAGCCCCCTGCTGAGGCCAGTCTCAGACGACTATTTGTACATCCTCCACTGCTGTCTACATGCACAATAATTTGGGGCAGGTGACTTGCGACATTGGAAGACGTTCGCGTCGGTTGTACCAGAACGGACATCTATGAGATGGCACTACAACCAGCGACCAGGACGGATACGTGACGGCACTAAGGAGAGGACGTATTAAAAGGTGTGGAAGACACCAGCGACAACAACAACGACACCTCCTGTTTACGTGCTTCACGCCCCTCTTGAAGTCAAGCGTCAGGCGGCACCATCGCAGCCCCCGTACTCAGTAGTCCTTAGTACGGCATCCCATCACGTCCCTCTTGAGACCAGTGTACTGAGGGAAGTCGGCTTTTTATTGCATGAACATTTATGTAGCGAACAGGTCTTCACAACCATTTGTGCCTCTTGTACACGGTGTAGCTGGAGAACGCCAACAAGGCGACGAGTACCCAGAACGAAGCGTAGGAGTACCTGTGCAAAGAGGATAGTAACGATTTCCAGCAGGGAGGTGTTGCAGCAGACGATCCAGTGCGACAAAATCGCGCGGGGGGCTTGTGGGTGTAGGGCAACAAGAATAACGATATGAGATTGTAGGCCATAGGGACTTGCTTCCAGGATATGCGCACCAATGCATAATTATTTGCACATCGTAGTTTTTTTGTGCTCTGCACCAGTGCCCTCAAAAAAAAATTCGCTTTTTCGGGCTTTAATATGACGCGGTGGTGTATGCAATGACCCCCATTGTATTGAATTCGACTCCCAAAATCAAAGATACCGCCCTATTATTTTTCTCCGTGCGGTGAGACACCTTCACAGCTGCCTAAGCACTGCGAGAAAATGGTGGAAAGTGTCAAAACAGGTGAGGACTCGACATCAAACAAGAAAAAGAAAACTAAAAGGAGCAGTGGCTGTGCCTGGTTCTCCAGAGGGGTAAGATATGCGGGCCACACATGGGCTGATGCGCCCTTTCCCCGGAACAGTCCTTCTCTTCCTGTCTCGATAGTGTGAGTTGAACTTCGGTATTTGACACCACTGATCTAATGAACAATACACAAGCGGACAGAATCTCATGCCCCACCGCAGTGAAAAACATAAATTGGCCCAGTCCTGTACGGTGAAAGAAGATGAAACGCACAGCACAAGGACTCCCCGAAACAACTCTCGACGTGCATGCAAGACGTACCTCCAGTTCAACTCCGGCATAAACTTGAAATTCATGCTGCAAATTCCCGCAAAGCCGGCAAAAACAAAACGTCGGCGTGCGAAAGGCATGGGGAGAGGGGGGGGTCGAAAACAACATCTTGCGCACCAAACTAGAGCGGGGTGTCACGACAACGCAAGACGCTCATCCAGCAAAAACACGCCAGCTGAAGCAATGAACCGCTAACATTGAAAACCCACCCGAAAAACGAACTGCAAGTATTCAACGACCGACAAAGACTGCCTAAGTGTGTTGCGCACCCCAACTTGAGGGTTTCGCTGACGAAGAAAATGATGCGATGCGGACCCGGTTACACATGCGAATGTCCACACGACATGTACCATGTCAACCCAAATACACGAGAGGAAGGCTGGAAGCCAGCTCTTTGAAACGAATTCGACTTTTCCTCTACTCTTGTTGCTGTATGTTGTTTTGTGTTTCTTCTCACCCAAACACGCCCGTGAGGAACTGCGCAGGCATGAAGGCCGAGGTCACCATCGTCAGAATGTACACCACTTGCTGAGAAGTTGTTATATCGCCGCGGAGGGGGGGGATTCGGGGGTTGGAATGGATAGCGGGGGGCTGACCTACGGCAGGTAAGGGCAAGAAACAAGAATCTGCTAAACCCTTGGGTGAAGGCATGCGAGAAAAGAGAAGGGTGACCACCGCGATGGGCAAACTTACGAGCAGCGGCCACGAAAGGAGAACAACGACAGATTAAGGGCGACGACAGCAACTACCACCACGCTGACCACGGCGACATGCAACAACGGAGCAGCACACGACAAGGACGAGGAGGGAGAGCGAGAACGAGAACGAGAACGAGAACAACAATAACCAACAACCACAGGCAACAACGACGACGGCAATAACAGGCATGGCATGAAAAACACGAGATTAACACCCTCGTCGTCGAACGGCCAACTCACGTTCATCCTATGCTGCTGCTCGTTAACCCAGTCCTTGTTGAGACTCCGGCTCCAAGTTGACATCCTCAAAGCCTGCTCCTCTAGCATCAATAGATGGTCCCTGTTTTTCGCGAGGCGAGACACCCGAAATCAGTTGCAAGACTCCACCTCCGCAACCGTAGACGAGAGGATCGGCAGCATGGCGCTGGAATCGGTATCGTCATCTCGCGTATCTAGGATGTCGATTCGGATGGCTTCCCTTCCTGCAATGCCTGCAAAAGGTGTTGAATGCAACTTCTTCTGACTGCTGCCTGCGTATGTAGATGTCGCCAACCCTCACCCTCACCCTTTCTCCGGCGCTCGGCTCCTAGGGCAGATATACCCATCGATATTTCTGCCGGCAAGAATCAAACGGCCATCAGCAACGCCGGCGTAATTATGCGCCTTCCCCGCTACTATTTAGTGTGACACTTACCTCAAGTCCTCGAGGTGTCTCTTGAGGTCGGCATCGTTCCCGGGTAGATCCTAGAAGATGAAGAACAAGAACAAGAACAAGAACAAGAACAAGAGGAAGAACAAGAGGACGAGCAAGAACAAAAACAAGAACAAAAACAAGAACAAAAACAAGAACAAAAACAAGAACAAGAACAAGAACAAAAATAAGAGCAAGAGCAAGAACAAGAACAAGAACAAGAACAAGACCGAGAACAAGAACAAGAGCAAGAGCAAGAGCAAGAGCAAGAACACGAACAAGAACAAGAACAAGAACAAGAACAAGAACAAGAACAAGAACAGAACAACAGGGTGTCCAAGGAGATGGCGGCAACAAGAGAAAGTCGACGATGAACGACACGCAGGTGCAAACGGACCTCGAAGGCAGAGGATGAGTTCAGCCAGAAAACCACGAAAAAAAGCCATGTTGGTAGAGAACTAAATGCACACGGCACATAGGAGTATACCGCATCGTACAAAAAAAGCTCACCGTGATGAGCTGGGTGGCCACAACTTTCATGGGGCGGAGGTAGAACGTGATCATGTGCATGTCCCTCGAGATCTGCTGGATCGCTCGAACGATGTCTAGGGAAGGGCCGGCGTCCTCGGAGTGGAGCTGCTCCTGAAGTTGTACAAGCTGTTGCTCCCCCCCCCAAACAAGCGAAACGAAGATGGCAAAGCGGAGGACGTTTGAAGAGCGAACGGCCGGACAAGAGGGGAAGAGAAAAAAACAAACAGATGAGTGGGTGTGGCCCTGACAAAGAAGCAAATGGTATTTGTCGTGCTTTTGTGGTAGTGCCATGTTGTCATCGTCATTGTCTTACACAGTAGGATTGATAAAGCAACCATATGGGATACAGTATTCAATCCGTGCTTTGGGGTTAGGGTTACGGTTACGGTTAGGGTTAGGGCTGCGTGCCCCCTCCATATTCAATTCTAGCTAAATTACTCTTAAAATCCTGCGTAGGCGGTCCTTGTCTTAACATAAAACACCGTTCCCATCTCTTCTCAACACCAGCATCCGCACCGGTCCGACGGGCGGGCCACATGCTGACTACCTCCCAGAGAGGACCCAGTCCTGACGAAATACATCGCACATATGTAGGATAAACAAGCGTTGCTTGTCTTTTCGAGGCACAAGAATTGTGCTTGAAAGGAGTGGAGCTTGCAACCTTTGCTTGTGGTCTCACCCAGGCCTGGAACTGCTGCATGATAGGAAAAACATCGTCCACGATGCTGTCCATGAGGCTGTACACCTGCGGGTGGGCGGTCCGTTTGATTTCACGTGCGGCGCAATACCGAGTTACATGTGTATGTGGCTACTTTTTCTCGTGCGGAGCGTCAAAACACAGTAACTGCTTCGTCATGACGATATCGTGACGATGGACAATGCCACGTTCGCCCGGAACGGTGAGTGAGGCGGTGCCTCGTCAGGGATGGATACGATAGTTGCGCATGGAGTTTTGAGATACTATACCCTTAACACAAAAGGTAGGGCGGTGGCGTGCGCGGCGTAGTAGCGCGGAGTACAAAGTATCGAAAATGCTCGATTTCGACATGTGGGGGGGGAATACTGAGGAACGATGGCCTTCTTGATGTGCGAAATACGAAACGGAGGGACAAAAACCACAAGGCCAAACCGAACTTCGCTCTTCTCACTCGCCCATTGCAGCGTCACCGGTGTTGGAGTACCAGAAACCCGCTAGGCACACCTCCGGATACGCACGAGCATCTCGTTCTCTCTCTCCACCCCCCGCCCCTTTTCTTTCCGCTCACCAGGTATCTGGCGTTGTTCAGGCGGAGCTTGCTACCCGCGTAGTAGATGCGGTTCGAGATCTGGTCGCTGACTTTCGAACGGGTAGGCTCGATGAAGAGCACCGTGTGGTCTCCGACGAGGAAGACAGACACCTGGCGACGGTGGAACACGGGACGAAGTACGGGACGGGCAATAATCGGGATGGTGTGAAGTATGAAACACGGAGGGAAAGACAGAAGAACTGCTGTTGGATGATGTCCGATGCCGCACGTTGGATGAGATGACATGTGGGGGGCAACACGGAAAAGGGGGGCGGGATGATACCACTATTGATAGAAGATTTGAACAATGACACACGAGAAAATGAGGAGATTGAAATAGAAGGGTGTTGGATGAAGGTGGTTTGAAGAATGTTGGACGATTGTGGGGCGGACCATCGAACAGAAAATGGGGAATGCCGGACTGTTTTTCCAGAGATTGGAGGCCGCTGCCGTGTGCAACATGTGCAGCCTGCAAAGCACTCCTGCAGCCGAAACTCCACGAACTTTAAATCACGCTCGCGGAGGTGACGAAACTCGACAAATAATAAGAGCATATATATTCAAATAAGACGAGCGAAGCAAGCCGTCTCATCAAGTTTGCGCAGGCTGGCGGGGAAGATGGAGTGGGCTCACCGCAACAATAAACAAATATCCAGTTGTGTGGCCTCCAAACTAAGGGCATCAACGAGAGGGAACCTAAGCAGTACGCACCTCCATAGAGAACAGAAGCGGGTAAGCTCCTTCCAGAAACACGCGCATCTGCACGAAATAACACTTCCACGGAACCACCCCCGCCCGTTTCATACTTGAACTAATAAAACAATACGTGAAAGGTTTCGAGTATACCAAACTAAAACCTGTACCACAAATATCGGTATTGTTCTACCACACCAAATCCAATAAATCAAACGCCGCCCCCGCGCCCCGTTCTCTCGATTTGGTCCTAAATCAGTGCGCCCTCTCGTGCTCAATCGCATGCTGACCGACCCCACCTGCTCCCTCTCGAAGTTGGAAGGCCTGCCCAGAGTAGGCTCTCGCAGAGATATTCTTCCAAGGACAACGTGCAGGATTTCTTCTGCAGGAGCGGCAGGATCGCCGCCGTCGTCATCAAGGGTCAGGGCGGATACATCGCCACCGTCACCCGACCCGGCACCGATTTCGCCGCGCGCCGCGGAACCGGCCCCGGCAACAGTCCCGCCGGTATCCGGGTCCGCACCGTGCGGAAGCTTCGCAATCTTTACCGGCGAGACTCGGCCCGCTTCGGGACTGGCTGGAGGATGACGCGGCGGAACTCCTTCCGATTGGTCAGCGGCTTCGAATGACATCGAGGTTGAGCTTGGGAGAAGTTCGTTTCTCATCGCCGTCGATGACTCTAGCTCCGCCGACGCCTCCGCCGCACTGTCTACCGTTTCCGTAGCTGCTGTCGTTGTTGTCGTTGGTGGTGGTGCTGCTGCCACTGCCGGCGACGTCGAGGCAGGCATCGGAACCTCCGTCGACCCTCCCATAGTCGTTGAAAACGTCGGTTCGTCGTTTGTACTACCTTTAGTGCCTTTCGCCGGTGCCTGAAACTTGTAGGTAGCGCTTGGAATTCTAGACGGTTTCACCGGGGTAGCTCGGAAGGCGTCGACCTTCAGCCTTTCCCTTGGGTTGAGGCAGTCTTCCACCTTGGAAACATGAAACAGGACAGGGGTGGTAATAAGAGCGGGAACGCACGGAGCCAGAAGAAAACAAACAGTAGAAACACCAATGCATGACGAAACAGAAAAAAACAAAAACAACAACATCGGCAACACAAAAAAATAATCAACAACAGGAACGTCCACACAATAACAGCAACGCAACCGACAAAGAAGACATCACCTCCACCACCAACAGCAACAACAAGATCAACACCTCAGGAAAAAAACAAACATTCCGCAGCTTACTTGAAGCGGATGAATGCCGAAGCGGTTCGCCATGTGTATTACCAACGACGGGTCCGAACCGGTGACGCAAACCCACCGCACATCTCCCTGTTCATTCGTACGAGTGTTGTGCCGCATGACAAACAGAAGACGAAATCGTGAACCTGTTTGTCATTCTGCGCATGTCCCTCGACCAAACGTGCGCACATGCACCTTCCAGAAAAAAATATCGCAAAGCTCATCTCGTGTGACCGCAAAATATGCTCCTGGCGTAGCATGAGAAGGGCAGAGGTATCAACAAGAGCGCAACGACACAAACAAATTTTGGCTACCACCAGACAACCGAAACACTACAACGCAGCCATCGTCAGGCAAAAATACTATGGCCGAAAGTGTAGCTACAACATGATGTTCCGAGAGCTACGTGGCGCATGCCAGCAAGCAACCGCAAGACTTCCAACATAGGTAGTCGGGGAGAAGATCAAACAAAAATAAAAAAAACAAAAGAGAGCTTGTTCTAGCCACCTTTTGGTCGTCTCGCTCTGCCATTAGCTCCCGGAGGGAAACGCTCGGGGATGGGGGATTCGGATCCCCGGTGTTCACCCTGATTGAAAAAAACAAAATCGAGGCCAGCAAGCGACGGTGACCCCGAACAATCGGCAGCAGCACAAAGCGGGGAACACGCAGTGATGCAGGGTAATTCAAGTCCAAGAGGGGCCAGGGGGAGAGGACGCAAGAGGCACGACCAAACGGAGTCTGCCCTGTTGTAGACGAAAATAACACCCACTAGTAGCACGCGTACCGCATAATGTGAAAAACATGGGAGGTTGGGGGATCGGCGGCGGTGGCAGTGATTGCGCGTACCTAATCTTACACCATAACGAGCAGCGATAACGGAACCATCGACAGTTTTGCCTCAACAACACTGGCGCCAGCCTACACCACTCGGTGAACACTGGCTACACCCCTCGGTAGACTGTCCACACCTTTCGGAAGACACTGTCTACGCCTCTCGGTAGACACTGCGCATACCTTTCGGTCAACTCTGTCTACGCCTTTCAGTACACTCTGTCTAAACCTTTCGGTAGACACTGTCTAAACCTTTCGGTACACACTGTCTACACCTTTCGGTAAACTCTGCCTGCATATTCTGTGAACATTAGACGCGTCAGCCGGGGCTGCCACGCAGGAGGGACGCAACAACGTATTCGCGTTTTTCTTACTCGACAACCAACACACATAAAGCACGGCGAAATGGAACGCTCAACACATTGGTTCGCACACGCATGAGCGAGTACCGCAGTGTGACGCAAGACACCACACCCCCCGGAGCGATTTTCAAAGCTACAGTAGATCACTCCGCGACGAACGAAACGAGTGCATCCATGAAACGATGTCACGTTTTCGGAAAGCTCTCGACGAGACGGCTTTAACTCCGCCGTTTTCGGTGCTGCCATTTATTCTGTTGTGGAGGAAGTGAGTTGTGAACACCGATTCCGGGTGCGTGAGATCTTGTGTCATGGCACCTAACGGGTAGTACGCGTGAGCATGCAAGCCTGCACGGGAGAGGGATTTCGGGCTCACCATCGGAAGGCCACTTCTTCTGGGGAATAGTCGTAGCAGAAGCAAGACACCGGGACCTCCTGATTCGCAGCGAACACTCTGTCATGGCACAAACCAAAACAGTCGAGTGTTATGCAGAGAAGAGCACGAGTCAAGGAAAAGACTCACAAAAGAAGCACGACATCGCGACCTTCTGACTAGCCGCGAACACCCTGCCATAGCACGAACCAAAGCAGTCGAGTTGTTTGCAGATAAGATACAAAACAAAGGAAAAGATTCGCAGCACAAGCACGGCACCGGAGCCTCCTGATTGGTGATTGGCCACGAACGCCCTGTCATGGCACACCAAAAAACAGACATCGAGGGGTGTATGCAAACAAAATATAGAAAAATCGGATGAGGCTCGCAGAAGAAGCGTGGTAAGCTAACGGAACACAATTATCTTCTGAAGGTGCGTTAGCACAAAAAGAAACGTCCAATGGCAAAAAATATCTAGATTGGACGGGAAAGGAACGATTCAGGTAGAGATGTTGAAGATTCATTGACAAAACAAGCGGCGGGGGGTGGTGAATGGACTAGACGGGAGAAAAAAGGGGGAGTTGACGGAGTGAGGGGTCGCCCTCACTTCTCGGCGCAGTCCTGCACGATGTCCACAAACCCGTCCAGCGAAATCTCCTTCGTCTTGTCCATCTCTGCCTGGGGGGCACACAGAAGCAACCGACTTTACCATGCAACCGCAGTTCGTGTAATGGCTATTGCTGTTGCAGTTGAAAATACATGCCTTTGGTCGCCGCTTTGACGCCTAGGTGGCACAGAAGAAAAGCGAAACGAGCAATTGGTGTATCTTTTCGTGCAGACGTCTACAGCTGTTCCTGTTGGAAATGCGTACCACTGGCCGCAGCTTCGTTGCCCAGCTTGCAACGTATCGTTTCATGATTGCCGTGCCGGCTCATGAACGAATGCTAGGGCACAGACCTCGTTCAACGAGATTGTTGGCATGGGGGTTACGGGGACCCCTCCGTTGCATCAATGTCGCTAGCCTTCACTCCAGCGCGGGTGGTCACTTCGAAACAAAGTATGAAAATGATGACAGCTCGCGGCCTCATGTTGTAGTGGGTGTACAGCACGCCGAAGCCCGCTCGTCCAACCTTTGCTGAGAAAGGTCTTGGGTCGCTCTCACCCTTCGCATGACGTAGTTGACATCGCTGTAGGTGCCGAGATTTGCCAGCCCCATCCTCATTGCCTCGTACGTGATCGTACCGCTCCCGTTCGTGTCGAGAGCATTGAACTACCAAACGTACGTACAACAGAGCGACATGAAAACAATACGAAAGAAGTGAAACAACTGGTCCAAGAGCTACAAAATATGACAACGTTTAGGTCCTAATCTCCAACGACATCACAATCTACGATCGGCGCACGCGAGAGAAAATCCTGCGAGTTGTTTCATCGAGAGGTGCTGTTGCCCCGACGAATGCCGCGCGTATCGATAGAAACTCCAGGGAAGCTGCCAGACAGGGCGTGTGAAGGATCAAGCGGGCTTTCACCGCAAGTGATGCTACTACTACTGCGCCTCCTCCTTGTGTCTAGTGAAGTGACAGGTTTGGTTTTCGGGAGTTTCACCTGTGGCGTTTTTCCGGGAGAAACACACCGCAAGCACCAGAGTTGGCCCGACAGTCGAGAACTTGGTGGCGATAACGGAGAAGCTATGGGAAACGCGACTCAGACAACCTACAACACCGATAGCACCGCGTGCTACGACAACAGCAGCAGCAGCAACACCAACAACACCAACACCAATCCCAACACCAACAACATTAACAACAACAAAAACAAAAACATGATATATGCTTGTGGATAATACTCACAAGCTTCACGAGGTGCTGCCTGGAAGTGTCATAATCCGGGTCGAAGAGCGCCACGCGAACCAGTTCGGGAACCTTTCCAGGCGGCGTCCCCCCTCCCCCGCCCGCCCCTCCAATATTCGAGCCGGGGTCAAAGCCTAGTCCGGCGCGACCATAAGACCCGCTGGATCCTCCAGATTCCTGGCCGTTAGGTAGACCGCGTGCGATGAGCGGTCGAAGGGATGCATGTCCACAGCGTGAACGCGAGTTCGGGACGAGGCGAGGGTGGGGTGGTGCCTCAAACGCCTGCTGCTGTGGTTGTTGTTGTTGTTGCATAGGGACCTGCGGGGAGGTCTCTGAGACCAGTTGTCGACGCACATGCGTACGAGGGCTGGGGCGATGCTTGCCTCCAGCAGCTGTAGGAGCAGGGATGTCGGAATAACCGCAACAAAGAGCTGCGTACCCCCCCCTCCTCCCTAAATAAAAAACACCTCCGGCATGCTATGGGGTGTGCAAACATCGCGGAAACACGAAACCAAGACCCCCTCTCCGTGAGTATCTGTGTGTCTGTCACTCACATCAGAACTCTGGCGGCCCACTGCGCCGTCGAAGGATCCAGTTCCCCGCCTCTTTCTCCAGACGTCCCACAGAGACTGTGGTATCCTCTGCGGGCCCCCCTCGCCTCCTGACGACGAGAGAGCCGAGGTGAGGAATACAGCATTAGTAACCAGGCACGACCGGGGAAGCGAACAGAGACCAACGCTGTTGGAGGGTTTTCCGTAGGGCAACGTGCAGCAGGAATCGAGAGAAAAACAATGCGTATTTTGTCGAAGTGTCAACTGTCCAGCTAGCCATCTCTGAGATTCCGCATCGTCTTTGCGAGATACCCGCAAGGGCATTGCTCCTGGTTTTGTTGTCGTCGTTGCGCTTTGTTGGAAGGATGGCAACATTCACAGTGTAGCACTGGTACACAGCAAACAATTGCGTTTCCAACATCCACCCTCCACTGCAGCAGGCAAAGGCAAAGCGCGCGCGCGCGCGCGAGAGAGAGAGAGAGAGAGAGAGAGAGAGAGAGAGAGAGAGAGAGAGAGAGAGGGAGAGGGAGAGAGAGAGAGGAGGCGAGAGAGGCAGACCAGCGAAGTGGTTCGCCCATCGAGCTCATCATGCACGCCCTCCCTCTTCGTGACGAATTGCACCGGTAACGACCCTGCTTGTTCCATCTGCGACCTTCCTCCGACTTCTGCGTAACCAACGCTATCAAGAGGACACTTGGTCTCCGACCTGAGGGGGGAGGTTAACACACACGTACCACCAAGGGGTCGCTGCACACACAATATCTCATCTCTTGCACGATGCGCACACCACATGTCGATCACCATCACCCCTGATCCTCCCTTCGCATTCCAACAGAGGCGCTCCGTCGTTGCCGAAAACATAAATATCGAAAGGAACCCCCCCGGCGCGCGAAGCACATCTGGTTTGGCACAGCATACACAAGAATAGGGAAACGTAGCCTGGCCCCGCGAAAACCAGGCACTTCACTCCGTCCCGGCATCGAAGGCATGCGACGTCAATGGTCTAACGGCTACGGCATGTGTTTTACATGGTTACACCCCATCTCCCGCCGCGTATCTAGGCATTCAAAGCATGAGGCACCAGGCACGAGCACCCTTCCCCCCTCTCCGCGCGCACACACGACCCCCCTTTGTCGCCATGTACCTGGAATAGACGAAGAGGCCGATGCGACGTTGGAGTCAAAGTGGGGGTGGCGCGTGGAGTTGCTCGTGCTGTTGTCCTCGCTGAGGAAACGACCTCTCCGGTACCATCGCCCAGGGGACCTCCGCGGCTGTTGTTGCTGCTTGGGAGCACCGTTGTTGAACCCTCTGCTTCCGCCTCTGAAAAAGCTGCTGATAGCGCCGCCGCCGCCCGAGCCGCCCGAGCCGCCGCTGCCGCTAAACCTCCTGCCGCTGATGTTCGGGCCACTCGCATCGAAGGCTATGAGGCCCAGGGGAGGAAAAAGCGACACGGAAGGCAATAAAGCAATGGTTGAACAGGATAAGAACAAAACGTGTTACGAAGGACTTCGTATGAACACACCGCAATAGAAACGGGGCCGACAGCCTGGGATAGATGTACACGATAAGGCAGGCCGAAGGGCGATGTCGATTGAGAGGCGTACGGAGACAGGGCACGCTGTGTGATGGAAAGGACAACACGAAAAGGAGGTAGACGAAACGGGGTACAAGAGGCAGGGCAAGAAGCCACGGACCCAAAACAGGTGATGGTACGAAAACACACAGAAAAATCGTGAAGCCAGATCACAGTCACACGGACAGGAAAGGCCGGTGGGGACGACCCAAAGGCGTTCAAACCGTTTGGAAATGATAAAGATATCCCGCACACGTTTCGCACATCGCGGACTACGGGAGAGTGCGCTCGTGGTTCTGCCCCGCAGTAAGACTGGTCAGGGGACAGCGACATAGTTGATGCTGCCCCCTGCACAAAAACGATCTACAGCCCATTCGAAAATTGTTGTTGTTGTCTTCACGACAGAGAAGCGTTCCGATCGCAAATCCTAAACCTCCGCCGTACACATATCAAGTTTACGAGCAAGAAAGAGAATGCCCGTCGTCACAGCATGCAGCCAGTTAACAGCAAAAAAACGCCCATGCTATCCCCCGTTCGTCCGCAACAACGTCATCACCTGGGACGACATTTTCAGCGGAATACGCCGGCACGCCTTCACCCTCCTCCCCCAGCTGTGCCCCCCCGGTGGTGGTGTTGATGCTCACGCGTCCGTGCTTGGTGCTTCGCTGTTGCGTCCGCTGTTGTTGTTGTTGCTGATGATGGTTGTGATGATACTGCTGCCCTCTTCGCCGGTTGCTGTCCGCCACGTCGCGGGGGAGGCCAACCGGGCTCAAAAGTCGCGCTGCAACGGGGAAACAAACAGCCAATGGAGGGATGTGCTCATGCTTTGCACGCTATAGCGGTGAGACCAGTGACCAGGTGTCCTCGAGAGGACGGAACGTTGTCCCCACAGGACCCGACCACCGATAGCCAATCTTTCCTTCCTACCGTGCCAAATGTGGCTCAAAACAATATTTCCCTCCCAATCTATCCGATCGGGGGGGGAAGGGGGCTCCGTGGTGTGCCACGCCCCGAAAGGAGGATGAAAGGGGCTAATATCGGCGCTACCATCAGATACAAACAAAAAAACGAAGAGGAGGGAGGGGGGTGCACTCATGGAAACGCATGCCTTAGACGGTAGACTATTGGCCTCGCATCCCTACAATGCCGGGGCGGAGCGGTATCCCGGATTCGCCGGCCCAGGTTTTGGTTCACAAGAACCAGGAGTTGTCCACGATACTTTCGTTTGGGGAGAGGGGGGGGTAAAGTAGTGTGCCACGTCCCGAAGGGGGCGCCTGGTCAAACAGGAAATCAGCCGCTCTCGACCCCCGCCCCCCCTTGGGAAACCACGCCCAACATCACCACAACACTATCAAGAAAGCTATGCCATAGTTCCACACAAGGAGCGTGGGCATTTTTCTCACCATTTACCTTGCGTACCTAGTGCAGAGTGAAATACAACAAGACACACACACAAGGCACTGCAACAGCAGTAGCACCTGTACACAAAAGAGTGCGGAGGCCAGCACACCTCTACGCACCTACAGCAGTACTGTCCAACCTCCACTGAGGATTCACATTTGTATTGGAGCAACTGTGGATTATCTTTGTAAGGGCATGGAGAAGTTGAATTTTCGATGGGTATGGCGTATCGATCGATCTCAACTCCACAGCAAATTCCGCTTCTGCGACACTGGGGCCGCGTGAAGGCGAAGAATCCCTTGTGGATTACGACGCAACGGACGAGGAGTGTAAGCAACCTCGCTCTGGCGGTGTGTGCTCTCGGCGGCGAGGGGGGCAGATGGCGGTAGCGCATCAATCACGTCCCCTTCCGCCAAGGGTGATCGATTTCACGTGTCTGGCGGCGTCGCCCTGGGCTGGCTCCGGCGAGGTGTGCCACTCAGGAGTACCGTGCTGTTTCACAGGAACCCACTGCTTTGGCTGCACCGCAGCATGATTTGTCTACACTCGAGGCACGTGCGGCTCGCCGCAAGCCCGCACAGGAGGTGGCAAGCGAGCGCCAAAACGGTTTCCGCGAGACCCTCGCACAGGCAAAAGCAGCCGCGCGTGAGCGCGATGGAAAAAAAGAGGAACGGACGCGCGAACAGGCTGGGCGTCAGACGTCCCGGCGCCTCCAAGAAATGATAGAGGTAGAGATCAGTGAGTACAGCGCTCATCAGCAAGTTACGACTCCTTCTGCCGCGGAGGAACGTCGCACTTTGTAGAATATTGAGAGTGTGCAAGCCGCCGGAGCCCCGACAGATTTTTCTGAGGTTGGCTTCCGCAGTCATCCTCAGAATGAGGCCACGTTCTCCTCGGGAAGAAGCAACGATAAATTGCTGATGAGCGCGGCCCGCACGCATGTCTGCCTCGGTCGTTTCTTGAAGGTGCGGAGTCGCTTGACACTCAAATCACCCTCGCGCAACCCTCGCACAGTTAGTAGCAGCCGTGCGTGGGCGCGATTTGCGAAAGAAACACCCGGTACCTGAGCTGGAGCAAGAGGACGACGACGAGAAGGAGGAGGAGAGCGATGGACGAGCTGGTGCTTGGCGACCGGGAATGACGGTTGCAATAATTAGGCCGCTTCGAGCGCCCGCTCGTTCCACGCCCCGCACCGCTGTGGTGGGACGACAAACTCCTGCGATGCTTCATCGCGCTTCCCTTGCCGACGGACACCTCGGCATCCTCTGCTGCAGCATCAGCAGGAGTCGGTGTAGCAGCCTTTACAACAGTAGCGACCGGAGCGGTGGCCTCCGCATCATCATCAGCAAACGGAGCAGCGACCTTCGCAGTCCCAGCAGCAGCACGAGCAGCAGCGTCGGCAGTCCCAGCAGCAGCAGCCGCAGCCGCGCAGCCGCAGCAGTCGCAAAAGGCTGCAGTTGCACCGCCAACCTCAGAAATTCCGTGGAAATTCCTGTTGGTTGCACACTCTCATTCTGCCCTTGAGACCACTTTTTCCGTGCGGTTATCGTGCCACCGCTTCTCTGTGCGGTGTGGGCGTGTGTGCTCCCCGCCGGCGCCATGGGCCGTGCCCCGAGTCTTGGACGCGATAGTTGGATGCGCTTAAAATTCTCGATTGTCCGCTGCTTTGCCCATGCGGTCTGCGAGTGGACACATTTTGGAGGAATTTCCGTTGTCATTGGGCTTTGCGGCGGGGGCTTCCGCGTATGTCTTCTCTGTGCGGTGTGGGCGTATGTGCTCCCCGCCGGCGCCATGGGCCGTGCCCCGAGTCTTGGACGCGATAGTTGGATGCGCTTAAAATTCTCGATTGTCCGCTGCTTTGCCCATGCGGTCTGCGAGTGGACACATTTTGGAGGAATTTCCGTTGTCATTGGGCTTTGCGGCGGGGGCTTCCGCGTATGTCTTCTCTGTGCGGTGTGGGCGTATGTGCTCCCCGCCGGCGCCATGGGCCGTGCCCCGAGTCTTGGACGCGATAGTTGGATGCGCTTAAAATTCTCGATTGTCCGCTGCTTTGCCCATGCGGTCTGCGAGTGGACACATTTTGGAGGAATTTCCATTGTCATTGGGCTTTGCGGCGGGGGCTTCCGCGTATGTCGCTGGGCCCTCGGGTCCATCTTGCTTCCTGCCGTACACCGGCAGGAACGGTGCCTCTGTTTCCGATAAGCCCACTATTGATGGGTGAATTTAGTTCGCAATTCTGGCACTCCCGCTCTCGGCAGCTAAATTTCTTGTCACGTTTTTGCCGGCGCTCTTTCGGCGCCGAATGTGTTCGTTCCGGATGGGTTTTTTTGAACCCATCCCTTTGAGCGGATGTGCAGAGTTAGAGCCTGGCGACGTGCTTGGAGTGGCGACTGCTCCTCTTGCGCAGATTCCGCTCGCGTCGGTCGACCTTACGCCACAGGTCGCAGCGGATGTCGGGTCGGGCGATCCTGCTTCGCCAGTCCATTCCGAGGCTGGGCCGCCGCCCCGCGTGAAATCTTTGCATTCCAACATCCCGGTTGCGGATCCGGCGAGCTCGGGACTCTGCTGCGGCCCCGTTTGCCGCCAAAACCGCCGCCGCCGGAATTGCTGGAACGCCTCTCGAAAGAACAGCGAGCCAGTTCCCGTGGTCTGTGGACACCCTTGCCTGCTCATTTGCGCCATGTAAATTTTGACTTACATGACTCGCGTAGGACCCCGGAAGCCATTGGCGGATGTGCTGTGTGACGTTCCAGATGCGTGCTTCGCGGTCACCGTCTGATTGTGGTTTGTTGTTCCGTGAAAACCGCTTCGTTTGAACGTGCCCAGCGGCTCGAATCAAACCTTGGGTGGAGAAAAAGTTCGGTACCATTCTCGACCAATCCCTCGCAGCCTGTCTTACCTCGCAATCGCCGTGGGCGAGCCCCCTGGGACGAGCTTACCACCGCCGAACAACAGCGTGTCGCAGACAGCGGGCCGCCACTGCCAACACCGAGAGGGACCAAGAGGCCGCCGCCGCGCAGCATGCGCAGGAAATGGTGCAACAGGAACGGTAGCAGAGAGCTGCCAAGGTTACCGAGGAGGTCACGAAGCTGCAGGACCAGCGCACCTCCACAGCCGATCGCCTCGGCAGCTACAGAAAGGAACGGCAGCCCTCGAGCGCCAGCAGAGCGACCGTCAAACAGAGATCGAACAAGCGCAGAGAGAGGGGCAGGCCGCCATCGCCGAGGGAGACAAACCCGTCGACGACTTCGACACCAAGCCATACTCCCTCAAGCAACGTAGCATCCGTGGTGGCGCCAACGAAGGTGTGCAGCCACCACGGATGCTACGTTGATTGGGGGCGTCTGGCTTGGTGTCGAAATCGTCGACCCGGCTGTCTCGCTCGGCGATGGTCGCCTGTTCTTCCCTCTCCACTCGTTCGATCTCTGCTTCACAGTCGCTCTGCTGGCTCTCGAGGACGGTCGTCTTTTGTTGGAGCTGCAGTAGGCGATCGGCTGCGGAGGCGTGCTGGCTCCGCAGCTTGGTGGCCTCCTTTGCCTCCTTCACTGCTGTTTTCACTGCCGCTCCTGTTGAATCGTTTCCCGTGCATGTTCCGCGGCGGCTGCCTCTTTGTCCCCCACGTTGCATTCTGCCCCTGGCTGGATACGTCTCTGTCACCGGTTTGTACCCTTATTTCTCTTTTCTTGCGTTGTGCTAAGTTATCGGCATTTGACTTGTCTTACTTTTCTGTGTTACATACTTTCGCTGCATTTGACTTGCCGCGCTTTTTCTTGAACACTGTCGCCACGTCTTCTGTGACGGCTGACACAGCCGACAGGGCCATAGGACCCACGGAGGCCTAGGTGGCAAGAGTCGCCAGTACGTGCACGCGAGAAAAACATCCCGCCAAAAAAAATGAGTCCTGTTATATTTTATTCCCGTGGCACAGCTTTGTTCCAATATGACCCCTCCCCACACATCCAAGCAAAGCAAAAACAATAGGTATCCGCCGCGAGCTGTGTCCAGGTCCGCCTTGTGTGGTGGTTGATACAGACCAAGAGGATGTAGGACGCCGCGCCTGTTGGGGTCAGATTGCTTGCTTTTTCTCCAGGCCAACGTTTGGTTTACATGAAGCGATGATCCCTCCGCACACAGCGAAGCATCAGCAATAGCAATGGCATTCGCCACTAGCTCTGTGAATGGCGCCCTTCCCCCACCAGTGCTGCCTTGCCACTTTCGGAGGTGTTGCGTGTTCGCTGGGTGCTTCCTCTGTTTCGCCTGTTGTGAACCAACCCTGTGTGTGTGGGAGATCTCCGTTTTTTGTTCCTCCATTTCCTGGGCAACTCCCGGGGATGGGGTGAGTATCTCCTTTAGTTTTTGGGTACAAATGCCGGCGAAGCACGGCCATCTGCTGTCGAGCACGACCAAACCGTTGTCGTGAAGAGTGCCCTATTTTTCTTCTTCCTTTCAAGCCAGCAGATCGTCAATCGGTGCTCAATAGACCTCGTGCTGTCGTAAAGGAGGGCTTATTTATGCTTCCTGGAAATCAAACTTTGCGTCCCTGTACCATGCGGCGGAACAGACCGATACGCACATGTAGCTCCTGTTTGTGCCGTCCCGGGACGGAGGAAAAGAGCGGTCCCGCTTCCCGCTCCGCAGCTCATGATAGTACAAAAACGGAAAGCTGGCGAGCAAACGTAGCCTCACCACAGCAGTCGTTCGTGGCCCAAAACCAAGGTCCCCGTACCACCAGTGATTTATTGTACATGCGGTCAATCGCAACACTGCTGTAGTAAGGGTAGACTTACAGGAGCATGATCGCTGCAGTTTCATATTTACTTTAATATAAAAACACTCCCACAAGAGAAAGAGCCCGGTAGGGATACAGTTTCCCGCTTTAGAGACACTCCGCTTCAAGGATCGTGGTGCCCCGTGAATGGACAACATTGTCGAGGGTATCGTTTATCCTTCGCCGGCCCCCGAATAAAAAAGGAAAAGGCGCCGGAAGGCGGCAACTCCGTGATGATCCGCGAGGTCTGTCTGCGCAGCTTTGTATGTGGGTATGCAGAGATTCCTTCCAAGCGAAGAGGAAAGGTGGTAGGTCTGAGTGGTGCATATCATCGAGGGGTGCACATCATCGTCGATCACAGAGGCTGAGGTCCACTCTATTCTCCCTGCTTGAGCAGCTTCGGTCGGTCCTATTTGTACAAGGGGAGGGAAGGAAAGGGACGGAGAATACACGAATACTCGGGGTGCGGAACCCGCGCTTCAACCAACATTATAAGTTTTTGCATTAACGAGGACTCGGCCGTTCACATTGAACAAAACCAGAGGTTGAACCTTCCCGGCCTTGACGCTTCGTATCTGCCAGCCCATTCTCTACCACCTTCTTTTGAGAGTTAGCAGTGAATTCGTTCACGCATGAATCTCGAGTGAAGCGTAGAGAAAGGGAAGATGCAAGCCACGGTTCGCGATTTGTTTTGGAGCAAGTATTATTCCGTGTTCTTGTCGTTCACTGCTGGGATACCTCTCAGAGAACCATTGGTGGGTCCATACATTGTGGCGTACCTCGGTCGACCAGCCTGTTGATATTTCATTCTATGTGGGACAAAGTTTGAACGAAAATGAACTTCTTTTCTACTTTTCTTCGAGAAGAACACGTAAGTTTTGGAACACGTCCATGACTTTGCCCGCCGATTTTCAATACTGTACTTGTCAACAATACGAATTTATTGACGTACAGCACGCCTCCATTAACGGCAGGGATGGTGCGATACTGTCCCCGGAAACCTAAAGAAACTCCCCCCTAAAAAACACGAAGATGAGGTGTGCCTTCAAAGCGGGGTCGACCGTAGGTTAGAGTACTGCTGTAGACCAGCCCACTGCTGGGTGTAGCCGAAGTACTTGTAAATAGAATAAACCACACCAGTCGTCGTAGACTTGTAGACTTCCAGACGACTCATGTGTATTTTCACTACTTGTGCTACATTTAGCAATGTATCTACATACCCCGTGGGAAACAGGCAAAGACGGCAGTTCGGTGGCCATCTTGAAGAATATGCCGCGATGCTGGGGAGGGTAGAACTACACTTGTACTTCATGCACGTCCACGGAAACCGTATTGGTAGAGTTCGTTGCTACCACTCGCAGCGGTGGAGACGTGGTGCATGACGTTACGGGTACCCTACTTTGTCGCCGTACCTCTCTCTCCGCGGCGCGCGGACTGTGGTGGTTGCCACCCGCCGCTGTTCTTAGGATCCAGGCGTTCGTCATCGATCGAGTCATACCCGCAGTGCTCCCAGCCGACGTTCATTGCACCCGCGGAACGCAACGCTGCTCTTCAAGCCGCAATGAGTAGTGAGTAAACGATGTTCGGTTTGGTCTCCTGTTGTCGCCGGTGCACGATGTTCCTGCTGGTCGGTGTGTGCTGGCTCTCCGTTGTTTCGACCACACCGCTTGCTTGCTCGAAGCTCCACCAAAGGCCAAGCTCGCCCGACACAAGCCAGTTAATGCTGCCTCTTATCTTACCCCGTGAAAAAGCTTGAGAGAGGTCGGAAGAAGAGAGACATGGGGACAGCAAGGGGCAAGTGGGTTTGTTGTGGCGGTTTCCCAGATTACCGACAGAGAAAGATTGGCGGAGAGGGAAGAGTTGCACATGAAGGTGGCGTTTGTTGAGCGGTCTCGGTAATCGGGAGGTACCTTCATCAAGACCCGGAGAGCGCGAGGGAAGCCGGCGAGAGCACCTGCTGCATGAAAGGAGGCCGGGCCAAGTCCTATGGAGGTGAGAGCTCCCGGAAGGGGTGGGAAAACGGGCGACGCCCCGAGCTTGCAGGGGTACATACAAAGAGTGTCAGAGCCGCTGTCCGCTGTCGTTTCTCTTCCCGGAAAACCCGCCGCATAATTCTAGCTCGCTTTCCAGTGTAGTTGAGGCGGACCTTAGCCGAGTACAAGCAGCAGCACGGAACCAACACTGCTTCGTTGTGCTGGCTACGGCGTGCTGGGTATCGGGGTCAAGGGTGTAGTCCGGTCTTCCCTCTTCGAAGACTACGGCTGTAGGTGATTTCTTTCCACCGCAGAGAGAGGCAAACAGCGAGACAGCAGCGGTAATGGGGTAATGGTACATACGTACACGAGAACATGTCGGAGTCTTTCACGCTTGTGACGACACGGCCCGTCAACCTGAGGGACGCCCCGTCGTAAGCTTGCCTTGCGTTGTCACGCACTCTGCTGTGGTCCGATGCTGTTAGAGGTGAAGACGAGGCAGCACGTCTCCTCCTTCTCGAAAGCTCGCATTTTTCATTTTTGGACAGCATAGTCGATGCATCACGGCAGTTGTCCCGCTTTTTGGTATCCAATCTCACGGCAGTCCCGATGTGTGCATCGAACAAGATAGAGCGGCCAAGGAGATGCCCACTATGTAGCCCCCCTCCCAAGCAAAATGTCCAATGCTTGAGCTGTCTGTCAGCGGTATCGCGGAAGGCAAGGGTATTGTGTTTGCTCAGCAGTAGTTATGTACACGTCTGATGCGCACACTAAGTGGCGCGTGAAACTCAACAACGTCGTTTGCCTCGCGGCACCTCGTACAAACCACCACGCTTGCTGCACATCCCGGTGTTGCAGAGGGGCATGCCGGGGCGGGACGATGGGGCTCCAGATCAGACGCCACCGTCGGCGGCAACGACATCAAGCCCGGTTGTCAGCGAGGAAACTGAAAGCGGCGGCAGCGGCGGACGAGGAGACTTTTTCCCGGTGGCCGAAGCTCTGTCTCCGTTCCGAGCACGACCGCTGAAGAATCCCCGGGTCGGAGAGCAGCAGGAGGGTAGAGAGGCGGGCGGAAACCGCTCGAAAGGGGAGTGTATACCGCTGCGTTTCTGCCGGGAGAGCGATGCTGCTGTTGATGGCCTGATCTCGCGGGAGGACCAGTCGCCGGGTCTGCCCCGCGGCGCCGCGGAGGAGTCCCCATTTGCGGGGACCCCTGTCCAGCACCAGACCGGCAGCGGCCTTGCGGACGCCGACGGGAATATTCCTGCCGCGCTATCAAGCGTGGAAAATAACCGGACTCTTTTGGCGGAGTCACGGGTCGCAGGGGCGGCGGCGGGGGCGGCGGCAACGATGCCGAGTGTACCGTTGCGCTCTCTCGGCGCCGCGAGCGGCGGGAGCTTGGGCGGAGGTAGCGTACCAGCTCCTCCCGCATATGCTCAGGCGAACCCTGGCAGCAGCGGTGGCAGCAGCAGCAGCAGCAGCACCGGCGGAGGAAGCAGTAGCACCGGCGAGGCACGAGGCCAAGGTAATGACTTGCCGGACGAGTCGCCAAGCGGTATCTCGGCCGCTGCCGTGGCGTCCGGCGGCTTCGGACACGGCGGCGGCGGCGGTGGCCATGGGGAGGAGGCCGCACGAACTCATAGCGATAATAACAGCAGTGGTACCAGCAGCGGTACTTCGGCGGTCGCTCCCGATGCTGGACAGCATTGCGTTAGCAGCGGGCAGGATCAAGCCGGCGGCAAAGGCACCGGTGTTGGCAGCGGCAGCATCAATGGAAACAGCAGCAGCGATGACGGCAAAGACTGCTGCAGCGACAACGAAGCCGGCGCAGGAGCGGAAGGTTCAGGGGGAGGGGGCGGAGATGGCGATGGGAGAGGGGAAGAAGGCGGGGAGGAGAGAGGGGCGGGCGGTGCGGTACGGGGGGATGCCGGCAGTGACTCCGACGAGGAGCCGGAGTGCCGTGTTTGCAGAGGGGACGACGAGGGTGGGGCACGTCCTTTGGTTCACCCTTGCCGCTGCCGTGGGAGCATCAAGTACGTCCATCAGGTGAGCCAACACAGCTACGCTTAACAGCAAGGCGCCCGGCCCGCTACACACGATAGGGAGGTGGTACATAGAAACTGCACATTTTCCAAAGGTTTATTTGGCACCTCGCTTGACACGATTGGGAGGTGGAAGACGCACGCTCTTCTCGACATCACCCCCGCTCATTTGCCTTACAGTTGAATGGAAGATTACTAGTGTCTACTCCAATTGTCGCTCTCGTCGGCGATTTCGATGGGGCAAGACACCGAGCACGCAAACAAAATGGTTCGTCGGACTAAACTGTCACAGAATCGCACGATCGTTGCGGAACACGTTTGAACTGCTATGCGGACGAGGTGCAGTTCAAACCGAGCACACATAGCGGTAGAGTCGTGATCAATGGTCATCTGAGCCCTAGCCTTGAAAGAACACTTGACGTTGGAGACATAACCAAAAGCTCCCGAAGGGCCTTAATTGCTGGTTCTCCGCCGAATACCTGTGTGGCCTTCCTCCTGTATGACCCCGGCTAGTTGGTTCAGAACTTCTTGGATGCCAAGAAAACAAGAATACTTGGCCGGTTCCCCCCCTCTGTAGGAAGGCACCCATGCCAGAATCCGCTCAGAAAATGCAAGGGCACGTGTGCTGCTGGCCCCTCATAATGGAGGTCTTCGTGTCAAGCTACCGTAGGCTACCGCACGCTTCCTTGTGTGTGTGTGTGTGTGTGTGTGTGTGTGTGTGTGTTTTCGTCCTACTTATTATGGCGACAGTCCCCCCATTTTTCGTGGTGAGACGTGTACTACACTTTTCAGCGTATGTAGAGTACTACACTTTTCAGTGTATTTTTTCGCACAACTACAACCATCCAGGGTCACACAGGAGGGGGTAAACACCAGGGCTTTTTTCTTCTTTTTACTTCATTTCATGCCCCACCTTCCTCCTGCGGTGCGTGCTGAACTTTACTTTTATCGCGAGAAGAGTCCGGCCGTCCCTTTCCCTCGTCAACGGTGCTGACGTCGAATTTTGGTACTCATCGAGAGCTTCTCAGCTATACTCGCTTTCACCCGCAAATTTCGTGAATTTTTCACCCCGTGGGGATTCGAACTCACGACCTCTGCGACTAGCGGATTACGAGGATACCACTACACCACCGGGGCGACCGGCTTCCTTGGGATAACACCCAACCTTGAATCGAATTAGGACACCTCAATTTTCCTCCACGACCAAAAAGAGGATGCCAGGATCGAAACGATAGTGGGTTTTTGGGCAAGCTCTCGAGCGAGGGGGTTACAACGCTGCCACTTTTGACACCATTTTTGCTGCACAGCGATCGAGCTGAACTTGAGAATCGTTCCTGCAGGGGGTGTGGTATCTTACGTATGAAACCCACGGTGGCGTGTCTCCGCTTTTTTGCAGCGCTGATACTGGTGCATTTTCATTGGTCAGCCGGTTAGCGTGGCCATCGCGGACAACTGCATCGGTAGAAGTCGCGCTTGATCACCGAATGGTTCATACTGAGGGTAACCATCAGCACACTTGACCTTGTGAGAAGGAGGATAGTAGGAGAGGTACGCAAGCATGTTGTACGTCGTTTAGAGCAGAAAACGCCGTTAAGCTCTGACCACCCCCCCAACGTACTCGGATGAAATAGGCAGAGGATGCATCATCCACAGCACTTGCCATCCTCAAGACGTCGTTCACTCTCTGTGCACTTGCCGGTACTTGCTCTTGCGGGTGTTCGCCTCTTATCCCCCCAACATTAGAGGGAATGATTGTTTTGTAGCCCATCCCTCCCTCCAACAACGGTTGCGGGAAAAAGAGGGGAAGAAGCGTAAGGCGAAAGACCGGCCAGTGCTGAAAGAGTGCGCCAGTGCGGAAGAGGAGGGGTACTGTGGATGATTATGCCCTCCGACTTTGCCGAGTACGTTGGGATGCTGTTCAGAGCCTTGAGACTCTGGCCTACTTCTTGCTCTTGTCGGTAGTGTATCCTTGTTTACGTCCTCCTCGTGACGGTCTTGCAAGCGATAGTGATTACTCTCAGTGTGATCCATTCGATGATCAAGCACGGTGCGCAAAACCCTCACAAGCCATAAGCCAGTTAAGTTAGCACAGTCGATGCCTTGAGCTAGCTGGTCACGGCTCGGGTGCACTCCATGCTGCCACCGGGCCGCGCAGACTATTTTTGTCTGTTTTCGTTGTGCCCCCCGCCACAATGGCTGACTACTAGTCAGTCAGCCAGCTAGCGCATGCTTTTCATTGGCCAGCCGGTTTGCGCAGACAGTGCTAATATGCATATCGGCATTGACGTACAGCTTCAACCTTCAGAAGCAGGGCACCGCTGGCGTCGTTGTAGTATCGGACTCTTTGATTGGGAAGCTTTTTGGCGCTTGTTGTTCCCCGCTGTCGGACCGACGTTTTTTCACTGGTCAGCCGGTTACCGCGGCCGCTGCAAACAATAAGAGAACACGCCCACACACCCGTCTTTTCTGCCGCACAGAGAGCGAACTGGTTTTTCAGCGGTCGTTACTGTAGCGCAATCCACGCTAAACATAGAGACATACACACACACACACACGACATCGCTCGTCCCCGAATGCAGGACTGCCTGGTCGAGTGGCTCCGATCACGCGGGGGGGGGGGCGGGGCCGCTCGGGGTGGCGGCGGAGCAGAAGGCGGCGCGGGCGGGGTGCCTGATGACGCCAGCGCGCTGCAGGCCCAGCGGTGTGAGCTGTGCCGAGAGAAGCTGGTGTTCAAGGCGAGGTACCGCCCGGGCGCGCCGGCCAAGCTGGGCGTTTATCAGGTTG